AGCCGGGGAGCAGGGCAAATTCCCACATGTCCATTCTCCTTTCTTGATAGAGAGCAATTTTGGGTTGGAAATGGAGGAAGAGGGATGGAGCAAAGAGACTCAGCCCCCTCTTCTCTGCCCCATCCCTCCCACTTTTCAGAGTGGCCTCTTTATCAGGGCTAGTGCCTCCGAAAAGGCCAACTGAACTATTTAGAAACCATGTTGTTCAGGCTCTGTTTCTCCCTCTATTTGTTCACCCAGACTGATGGAAAGGGGTGTGCTGTGGGGGGGGGGGAGCATTGGGGAGCAGTCCAGGCTTTGCGTGTGTATTTGTTCAAGTGGTGGCAGGATGTGGAACTGGGGGCTCTCATTGACAGTGTTGGAGTGCCACCCAGGTGAAGTATCTTGGTTGTAAACAGTCATTACAGCCAGGAATTTTTCTCAGCTATGGTGTCAGAAGGGCAGACCTGAAAAACCTGCTGGGCCTGCCTCTGGGTGTGTGTGTGTGTGTGTGTGTCCCCGCATGTGCCCTCCGTGACTCTCATACTACAGTCTGTCCCAGCAACAGGACACAGAATGACAAGGCCCTGGGGTGGATAGGAGGGTCTCGGAGGCCTGTGTGAGGGTGCGCTAGTGACGCAGGGGTGGCGGTGACGCAGGGGGTGGCAGCGGACTGCTTTCTCGCTATCTTATCTTGTGGGAGGCAGCCCTAAGTCCCAAGGCAAGTGTGCAGAGCACAGCACAGTAGAAGCAAAGGTTCCTGAGTCAGGTATGGAGGTGTGGGGCGTTGACCCGAGTCTAGCCTGCCCAGTGACCCAATGACTCATGCCCTAGCTATGTCCCTGAGGTCAGGCTGACAGGGTGGAGTCGGGGTTCCTGTCTGGACCCTGTGTTGACGTCCACGATGCTCTGATCTAAAGAAGGAAGCATTGAGGCACTCGAATGAGGAGCATGAGACTGATGGTGGCGAACGGGGTGAATGGACCCAGAGGTCAGGGGAGTTGGGTTTCTGTTGCGGTGGAAAGGGGTTCAGGCCAGCCTTGTGAAAAGTTTTCCAAACGAAAATGGGACCTGGGAAAAGTAGGAGTTCTAGGAACTGAGGGACAGAGGAAACTGGGACATCAAAGAACCCCTGCCGTACTGAACCTCTGCACTGCATAGTGTCTGGATTTGGGGATTGTCTCACGTTGATGTTGAGGATAGTCCATGAGTCCTTTGAGGGAGGGTCACAGACCCTGTGGGACAGCCAGGAAGACAACAGATAAACTGGGGGGACCTTGTAGGCAGTTTGATTATACCCTACAGTGTGAACGTGGGGAAGGAGCTTAGAGCCAGGCTTCCTTGCTTGTCTGGGTCTTTTCTAGAACATCATGACAAGCTGTGAAATTCAAGGTAGGTTAAAATGGGAACTCTGCTGTCTCCATTAGGCCTTCCCAGTTACCTACCTTGGAGGTTAGCACAGGTGGTGGGAGGTGATGTCACCTGGTTGCCCAGCGGGGGACCAAGCAGGATGTGGGAGGGAGGGAGCAAACTCCAAAGAAGCAGAAGGAGGGCTGGCAGCTAGCCAAAGCAGGCTCCATGGCCATCCAGGCCTTCTAGGGACAGAAAAGGGCAGATAATGGGTTACCCATGGCTGTGGATGGCTTTTCTCACCCATCCCAGCAGGATAACTTCCGTGCTAGTTTCAGAAGAGGGTGGGAGGGAGGAGGAGCTGGAGGGACCCTGGAGTCAAGGGACAGTCCTTGCTACATCAGGGCAGCAGGGTGGAATTAGAACGTGTACAGAGCCAGATGGGTCTAGATACCTGGCTCGGCTCTCTTGCATTTGTTCACTTGGTTACTTGTTCAGCCAGCTGGCGTACATTTGTGGGCTACTTGCTGTGTGCAGCAGCATTTGGGGTGCTGGAGCTACTGATTCCCTGGGGCAAACCTGCTCCCTGTCCAAATGGCAGTACAGGGAGGCCCAGGCTCTTGTTCAGCGGCAGCTGGGAGAGAGTGGCACTCAGGAACCACCTCTAAAAGCGGCAGCTAAGCCCCAGAATGAGCTGGGTATGGTAGTGCCTGCCTGTAATCCCAGCATGTGGCAGACTGAGGCAGGAGGATCGCTGTGAGTTCAAGAGCAGCTTGAACACAGTTACTTTCAGGCTAGCCTAGTCTACAGAGTGAGACTGTGTGCTGAAATTCAAACAGCTCCAAAATAAGTGAGAAGCAAGGTTCCGCTGGTGAGAGGCTGGAACCGGTGCCCTAGACTGTGGCCACAGGCTGGGCAAAGGCCCTTCTGCCTGATGGATGGGACCGAGGTGCTCAAGAGGCAAATGGCAGGATTGGAGCTGCTGTCTTGAGGAATTGTATAGAACCAGAGGGGTTTGTCCTATGTGAAGCCCTTTACTGGGCAATTATTTCAGCTCTCTGTGCTTTCCACCCCTCATCTCCTAAGGAAAGGTAATAATGACGGAGCTCCTGCCTGAGGGGTTTCAAAGATTCATTGTGACAGAGCAGATAACTGTTCCAGGCACCCAAGGCTGAATACGTGCTCGCGGTTGGTATACTCAATTGAACCTGTACCATTAATTCTCTCCCTAGGTGAGATTCCTGGCTGTGGCCTATGGGCCTCTGAGGAGGCATTGTAAGTCTGCCCAGCTTCCCACTCACTGTGTCAGCACTCAATGGGAAGGGAACCAAGGTACCAGGCCAAGTGGGTCCAGACATTGACACAGATTCTGAGTGGGCAGGCCAGGTAGGTGGGTGGGGCCCGGGGGTACTTTCTGTTCCTAGCTGGAAGATAGGAAGTAGGACCGGCCTTGGGACTGGGGGGTGTCGTGGGATATGCCTCCTTAATGCCTTCTGTGCTGCGTCACTGCCAGGCTTTGTCCAGCCACCAGCCACAGCCTCCAGACAGTACAAGGATGGAAGTCAAAGGTCAGCTGATCAGCTCCCCTTCCTTCAATGCCCCAGGTCAGCGGCTGCCTCCACTTCCTGCTGTCCCCTCCCTACCCCGAGTCTCCATGTGCCTGCTTGGGAAGGGTTGGTCCCTGTCCCCACACTTGCTCCAAGATGTCCTGCTTGTCTTCATCTTTGCTCCCTCCCCCTGCGCAGCTGCCCTGTTTGGAGAGGCTGCCCCCCAGGTGAAGTCAGAGCGTCTTCGAGGGCTGCTTGACCGCCAGCGGGCCCTGCAAGAGGCTCTGAGCCTGAAGCTTCAAGAGCTCAGAAAAGTCTGTCTGCAGGAGGCGGTGAGGGCCTCACCCCAGGGCTATTAGGTGGGGGTGGGGGTGAGGAGGTGGGAGGTAGGTGGGATACGGTGAGGAGCCAGGGTGCCTAGGCATGCAGACTACTGTGATGGGTGCCTAACCAATTGTCTGGGAATTAGGAGTTTTCTTGTCACCCTGTGTGTCCTCATAGTTTGACTTAGATGTCACAGTATCAGTGAAATATGCCAATGCTGATCCATAGTCACTTGTCAATAATTTTAAACCTCCCCTCCCCAAAGTGAATGAAAACTGTTTCCAAAATTGGGCAACAGAGCTCATCCTGAACTGACGCAGGGTGAATTATTGTTCTCTTCTCTCCACTAGCCCATCTAATCCATCTGTTCATCTGTTTTCTGAGACAGGGTCTCACTCTGTAGCTCTGTAGCCTAGGGTAGTCTCTAGCTCATGCGCTAGCCTCCCAAGAACTGGAATTTCTAGGCATGATGTACCACAGCTGGCTATAGCTCTGATTTTCCCTTCTCAGTGTGAGTGTCCACACGCTTTTCCTGAAGGAATAGTAGGGCTCAGGGGATGGGGAATTGCTCAGTTGACCATGTAAGCAGAAGGGTCCGAGTTCAACCCTCAGAAACTATGGAAAAAGAATGGCCGGTCATGGCGGCCAGCACTTGCAATCCTGTGCTGGAGAAGCGGAGACCAGATGGCTTCCCTGGAGCGTTCTGACTAGCCAGGCTATCCTAATCAGCAAGTCCCAAGCCAGTGAGAAAGAAACCTTGTCTCAAAAAAAAAAAAGTAGATAGTATCCTGAGTAACAACATCATCCAAGATTGGCCTCTGGCCTACACATACGCACAGCTACAGGCGTAGGCGCACGCACACGCGCACGCACACACACGCACTCTAATGGGATTCAGAAGACCAGTCCCTGTGTTATATGTGCAGCATATAGAGTGGGCTTTTATAATTATAAAAACTAAGAACTCTGGGCTCCAGATTTCCAAGATACCCAATGGCCCAGAGATTTTTTGGGGCCACTGAGGGACTTAGGGTCCATACTTCCTACCCTGCTGGTAGAGATCTTGAGAGAAGGAACCTGATCTATGTGGAGTATTGGGCAAGGCCAGTCTCCTTGGAAGATATAGTTTCTTGTACCCTTACTACTTTATGTCATCTCTCCAACTAACCCTTGTAGTTTCTGTCCCCATCCCCTCCAGGAGCTAACTGGCCAGCTGCCCCCTGAGTGCCCACTGGAGCCTGGTGAACGTCCTCAGTTGGTACGCCGGAGGCCCCCTGCAGCACGTGCCTACCCTCCACCACACCCGAACCCAGTACACCACTCCTTGTGTCCTGCTGAGGTAAGCAGTTGGGTGTGGGGAGCAGGATGGTGCTGGTGAGGGGCAGGGGCAAACAAGGGCAGAATGAGGGTTATGGCCAGGAGTGGGAGGAGCTAAGAAGGGAAAGAGTTTGAACTGGTGGGTTCCCCGTGCAGTATGGGACCCCCAATTTTGTCAAGACAAGCTTCCTATCTTTAGAAGATACATAGGCCCCACCTTCTCATCCTGTCCCTTGAGGCAAACAGACTCCCCCAGGAAGAACAGGCCCCATTTCCAGTATAGATGGGCTCTGCCAACTTCCCGCTACTTGGGTAGTCATTTCTATGATTTAGCTCTGTTCCACCCCTCTTGGCTTGTGCAGGAGCTGGCTCTTGAGGCCCTGGAGCGTGAGGTGTCTGTGCAGCAGCAGATTGTAGCTGCTGCCCGCCGCCTGGCCCTGGCCCCTGACCTTACTGGAGAGCAGAGGCGGGCGGCGGCGCCAAGTGCAGGTGGATGCCCTGTGGAGGCTGCACGAGCTGGAAGAGCAGCTCAGGGACTTCCGGCCCGCCTTGGCCTCCCGGTGCTGCCACTCTCTGCAGGAGCATTAGTCAATGCCCAGGGTGTCTGCATGGGCACACGCCTTGCTCAGTTCAGTCAAGGTAAGCCAGGTCCCACATCCCTCCAGTGCGTGGGAAAATGACCCTGAGAATGGACTATGGCTTACACATATAGGAGTGGTGGAGTGGCTGAGCAGCCGTTGAAGGCAGAGAGGTGAGCAGGACTTACAAGGGGAATGCCCATCAAGGAGAACTGTAATGACCTGACTTGAGGTTCAGAGGACTTGAACAGTAAGCAACAGGAAGATGAATACTTAAGTTTATGGTGGTCTTGGATTCAGGTAAAGGTTGAACCTAAGCCGATCAGCATTCTAGAAAGTCATTCTACCATGGAGCTACATCCCCAGTCCTCTTCTTTATTTTTTGTTTTTGTTTTTTGGTTTTTTGTTTTTTTGGTTTTTTTTTCGAGACAGGGTTTCTCTGTGGTGTTTTTGGAGCCTGTCCTGGAACTAGCTCTTGTAGACCAGACTGGTCTTGAACTTACAGAGATCCGCCTGCCTCTGCCTCCCAAGTGCTGGGATTAAAGGCATGCGCCACCACCGCCCGGCCCTCTTCTTTATTTTTATTGTTTATTTATTTAGTTAGTTTTTCCTCGACAGGGTTTCTCTGTGTAGTCCTGACTGTCCTGGAACTTGCTCTGTACAGTAGACCAGGCTGGCCTCAACTCACAGAGATCCGCCTGCTTCTGCCTCCCAAATGCTGAGACTAAAGGCATGCGCCACTACTGCCTGTCTTTTGTTTTTATTTTTAAAAATAGTTATTCATTTTTATTTACATGTTTGTTTTTATTTTTCAAAATAGTTATTCATTTTTATTTACATGTATGTGTTCCTACGTGAGTTTACATTTACCACACACATACAGGTGTTTGTGGAGGCTAGTGGCTTTGGAACCCTTGGAACTAGAGTTAGAGACTGTTGTGAAGTGCCTAGTGTAGGAACCGAACCCAGGTCCTCTGCAAGGGTAGCAAGTGTTCTTAACCTTGAGCCATCTCTCCAGCACATTGTTTTTGTTTTGTTTTGTTTTGTTTTTGTTGTTGTTGTTGTTTTTTGTTTTAAGTTTTTTTCAAGACAGGGTTTCTTCGTGTAGACCTGGCTGTTCTGGAAATCACTCTGTAGACCAGGCTGGCCTCGAACTCACAGAGATCCATCTGCCTTTGTTGGGATTAAAGGCGTGCACCAGCACTGCTCGGCTCCCTTGTTTTGTTGTTGCTTTTTATTTTGAGACAGGATTTTGGTAAGTTGCCCAGGCTGGTCTTGAACTCATTCCATGTTCCAGACCGGCATTGAACTTATTTTACGCACACACGCACTCGTGCACGCGCGCGCACACACACACACACACACACACACACACACGCACACTGCTTCATAAAGCCTCTTAGGTAGCTGGAATTAGAGGTCTGTGTGTCTGGCAAAGATGGATTCTTCTTGGGGAGGCGCCAGAATCAGGTAGCAGAAGGCAGTGCACACAGAGATGCTATCCAGCGGTGCAGGGGATGGAATTCAGACCTTGGAGTGACAGGGTGCCTTTCCCTTTCTCCCCTGTAGAGGATGTAGTTCTGCATTCGGAGAGCAGCTCCCTCTCAGAGTCAGGGGCCAGCCATGATAATGGTGAGAACTATCCCCCAGCCTGACTCACCCCTCCCGTGTCCTCTCAGAATATCTGTTGGTTCAGCCCCTCCTACTGTAGCTCTTCTTTAGCCATGCCCCATGCTCCCATGTGCCCTTAGTTTCACCTGTCTCCGCCTCCTCTGCCCTAGACCTTACAGGTCAGCTCCTACGTTTGCCTTGCTTCCTCTCTTAGCTTGTTGGTGCCCCCCTCCCTTAAACCTGCCCTGCTCCTTCCAGGCCCTCTCTCATTGAATTCTACCCTATTCTCCCTTCTACCCAGAGGACCCTCATAGCTGCTACTCTCTAACTGAGCGCCCCTCACCACCAAAGGCCTGGGACCAGTTTCGGGCAGTATCCGGAGGGAGCCCTGAGCGGCGAGCCCCATGGAAACCTCCCCCTTCAGATATTTATGGGGACCTGAAGAGCCGGCGCAACTCTGTGGCCAGCCCCACCAGGTAAAAAGGAACCTTTTCCTCCTTTCCTGGGACTAGGAGTGGGATCCTGATCCTGGGCTGGCAGGAGGGCCTACTGGTGAGTGCGGTTTCTAACCTGGGTCCCGATGTGGGCCTGCCATCTCTGTCTAGCCCCACCCGCTCGCTGCCCAGGAGTGCCTCCAGTTTTGAGGGGCGAAGTGTGCCTGCCACCCCTGTCCTCACCCGGGGCACTGGCCCCCGGCTTTGCAAGTAAGGGGACTCTTGAGGGTGGGTCTGAGTATCAGAGGAGGAAACCTTTAGTTCGAACTGTAGATGTTGAATAGGAATTTCCAAAAGATGTGGGACATGGGCAACTGGGCTTTGAAAGGTGGCTTGAAGCTGGTGTGGGAATTGGAGGCAGAGGCGTGAGAGATTGAATATGGGCTTTCCTGCATTTTTGGGGATAAGTCATTTTCTTTCTCTGAATCTTTCCTTCCTCGTTTGTGAAGTGAGTGCCTTTGAGAGACACAGGTACAATGCATGTTGGGTAGAATGTATCAAATGCCTACTTTCTGCTAATCATCGGTAGCATTTGTGGTGGATAGCAACTCCTTTGTCATCCTAAGGTCTCCCTGAGGAGGTGCTATTATTTGCATTTTATAGGAGTGGAAACTGAGGCACAGAAAGGTTAATTAAGTAACTTGTGAGTAAACCAAAGTTCTCAAGTTTGGAGCCCATGCAAAGTTTTAAACTAATCAGCCTTGACACACCAAACTGTAACGTTCCTTAAGTCCTTAAATGCCTACTTTTCCCATGCTGTGAACAGAATCCCTGTCTTTTGGGGGCATGCTTCTGTGCATGGTGGGACAGTTGTTTGGGGCTGGTTCATAGACCTGGTGGGTTAGAGTTCAGAAAGCCTTTAGTTCCGGTCATAAGGCCTAGGGCTTCCTTCAGGAGGTAGAAAGGAGCCATGAGAATAGCCTTAGCAGGAGAATAGGAGCTGTGGGATCAGGAGGGTGCCTATGTATGTCCTTCCTTAGCTAGCCTTTCCGTCCCATTCCCAGAAACATTTACTGTAAGAGCTGCGGCCCTATCCCGGTGAGCATTTCCATGCCCTACCCTCTGGCTTCCCGTCTGGGGCCAAATCTCAGTGGCCCTTACTCTGCTTAGTAGCTACATGCACACGATTTCTAATACTGGGCCTGTTTTAGAGATAGTGAAGGCTCAGAATGAGATGGGGCAGTCAGGGCACTCGTCATTTGTCTTCTTTTTCTGACCCTGCTCTTCTTACCGCACCTCTGTTCTCCAGACCAGAAGGCCTCCATTCTCGCCAGTGGTCGGGTAGTCAGGACTCACAGATGGGCTTTCCTCGGCCTGACCCTGCTTCAGATCGGGCCTCCCTCTTCACAGCTCGCACCCGCCGCAGCAATAGCTCTGAGGCCCTGCTGGTGGACCGGGCAGCTGCTGGGGGAGCAGGATCTCCACCTGCCCCCCTGGCTCCCCCTGCTGCTGGTCCCCCAGTCTGCAAGAGCAGTGAGGTGCTGTATGAGCGCCCCCAACCAGTCCCTGCCTTCTCCTCCCGCACCGCTGGTCCCCCAGACCCTCCTCGGGCTGCCCGACCTAGCTCAGCTGCCCCTGCATCCCGTGGACCCCCCCGACTCCCACCTGTGTGTGGAGACTTCCTCTTGGACTATTCATTGGACCGGGGCTTGCCCCGTGGTGCTGGTGGGGCAGGTTGGGGGGATTTGCTGCCTGCTCCTGAAGTCCCAGGACCCCTTTCCCGCAGAGATGGGCTCCTTGCCATGCTCCCTGGTCCTCCACCCATATATGCAGCTGATGGCAGCAGCCCCCTTCTCCGCAGCAAAGACCCCAACACCCGTGCCATTCGTTCCAGGCCCTGTGGCCTGCCCCCAGAAGCTGTGGAGGGTCTGGAAGTGCATCCAAACCCATTACTCTGGATGCCGCCACCCACCCGGCTACCTCCAGCTGGTGAGCGAGGCGGCCATAAGAACCTTGCCCTGGAGGGGCTCCGGGACTGGTACATCCGGAATTCAGGACTGGCCATGGGGCCCCAGCGCCGACCTGTGCTTCCACATGTGGGCCCAACACACGCACCCTTCCTCCATGCCCGCTGCTATGAAGTGGGCCAGGCACTATATGGTCCTCCCAGCCAGGCACCGCTCCCGCACTCGAGGAGTTTCACAGCACCCCCTGTCTCCGGCAGGTATGGGGGTGCTTTTGCTGATGGGTAGGGGTATTGATTGAGATGCTGAATGTATCCTGACCAGGGAGCACTTTGTCAAGATAGCTGATGAGTGGGACCACAAGGAAACTAGCTGCGGTCTTGGCATGGGGTCACTTTATCAGACATGACCTGCATTAGTTCTTAGGGTCCTGGTGAGGGGGATCTTGTATGTTGGTAGCAGGAGTTCTTTCCCAAGCTTTAGAAGGATTCTATTCTATGTATTCTCCCTAGTACATGACAGCTGGCAGTGAGCCTTGAAGTCAGGGTGCTGGGAAGAAGGGACATACGTGCTCCATGGCTTTCTCTTCTAAACTCCATACCCCATGCTTAAGAGCCTGAAGGTGCTGTCCTGCGCCTGTCTCCACCTCTTTAACAAGCCTCTTTTCCTCTCTCTGTGTGTCTTGTCTGTCTCTTCCTCTCTTCCCTTCCGTTCCCTTCCCTTCCCTGTCTTCCGGATTCCTGCTGTCCTTTCTAAAGATACTACACGGACTTCCTGTATCCCCCGGAGCTGAGCGCTCGTTTAAGTGACCTGACGCTAGAGGGGGAACAGTCTTCCAGTTCTGATCCCCAGACCCCAGGGACATTGGTCTGACCCTTCCTGATAAGCCTCTTGTTGGTCTGGACATAGTCCAGTCTGGGGAACATACAGTCAACCTCGCTGAGCCCTGGGATGTGGTTGCTCTTGGTTCTGAGGGACAACTGCTTGATCTCACAGGACCCCTGGCTTCTTTGGGGCCCAGAAGGATGTCTGATACTCCTGCATCTCTTCTCATCCTGTGCTGGGGGACTGGAGGGCCCCAGCTAGCTTCAAAGAGGGGGATGATGGTTTGGGGACTATGCCCCTTCCTCCATTTCTGTTTACAGTTGTGATTTAGTATTCACTGTCTTTGCCCAACACTAGGTATTTTATAAAAGGGAAGCTGTGAGCTCAGTCCTGGTTGGGTTCATTCCTGTCCCTATGCCCAGCCTGTTCCATTTAGGAGCCACCACCCCACCTCAACAAAATGGACCATATAGAGTCTCGGGGGTTAAGAGACCGCTATGAAGAGAACTCCCTGCCTTCTCCCACTAGAGTTCTTGGACAGATGGGCTCCTGTCCACATTTGGAAGGACGGAAGTCTAGGTGGGGTGAACTCCCTGCCTCCTCCCACTAGAGTTCTTGGACAGATGGGCTCCTGTCCACATTTGGAAGGACGGAAGTCTAGGTGGGGTGCCTGAAGGAGCTGTTGTCTCCGTCTCTCCCCGTGGCCTCTGTGCTGACCTTCCCCGGTCAGGAGGTTATACAAGAGTGTGTCAAGAAGCAGAGCCATTTGAGTATGTCCCATCCTGGGATGCTGCAGTGGTTAAACCTGGCAACTGGTCGATGCCAGCAAAACCCTCAGGTGACATCTGGCCATGGGCCACAGGCCACATCATGTCCTCCTTGACATTCCTCTATTTACCACTTTTTAAACAAATCCACATAAGCTGTGTTTTCTATATTGTGTGTGACTTTCTGGAACTGGGGGTTCCCCTACCCCCTTTACCTGGTGTTAAATTTTCTTTTTGTATCAATGGATCTGGGCCCAAGACACTACTCACACTGGAAGGGGATTTCTATAATAAATGTATAAACTGAACCGCTGGATTGTTTCTTTGTCTGCTTCATCACAGGAACCCACACCTCTAGTTAAGACCAGATTATATGTATATATTTATTAGACAGGACAGGGACCCACTGTGTAGCCCTGGCTGGCCTGGAACTCACTTGTAGACCACATTGGCCTTGTACTCAGAGATCCATCTATACTGGCATAAAGGGCATGTACAACCACGGCCAGTCAGAAAACAAAATATTCTTGCCGGGCGATGGTGGTACATGCCTTTAATCCCAGCACTCGAGAGGCAGAGGCAGGCAGATCTCTGTGAGTTCGAGACCAGCCTGGTCTACAGAGCTAGTTCCAGGACAGGCTCCAAAGCCACAGAGAAACCCTGTCTCGAAAAAAAAAAAAAAAAAAACAACATTCTTATGGGGAGAAAAAACACTGGAAATAGCTTACAATAGTGTCATGTGTTTTGTCTTCTTGAGCTAGATTGTATGTAGCCAGGGCTGGCCACAACTCCTAGTCCCCTTGCTCCTCACTGCTAGGATTCCCGGCGTCACAATGTCCAGCTAACATACATGTGTTGTTGTCTTCACTTGCTTTGTGAGATGGGGCAGCTTCTTTGTCTCCCTGCACTTATACTCCTGGTCTACTTATAAGAAGAGAATATCCAAAATGATAGTACCTATTTCTACGTCCCTGTGTTTTAATTAATGTTAATTCAGAGGCAGCAGGCTTGAGGGCCAAAGAAGTCACCTTTTCAGCACAAATATTTAAACCCAGTCAGGTATGGTCCAGCAGAACTGAAGACAGCCACTGGGTTGTTCATTGAAAGGTACAAGAACTTCACACAGGAGGCCAAACAAGCTTGAGATTCACTGACTTTATTGTTGCAGGAACACTAATACATGTGCTCCATTGCCAGTGGGGGCTATTGCTAGCTAGCCCCATACCTTGGTCCTCAATACTAGGAACATTGTGGGGAAGGGAGAAAACCTCTACATAGAGTTGGAGGGAAGCTATTGGGTCTGGGGAGGGTTAGGGTCATCTGGGTTCAATGGGGTGAGGACTGAGGACACTTGGGATTTAAGCTCAAGATTTGGCCACGTCTTAACCTGGGTTCTAAGCCAGATGGGGGGAGGGTCTGAAAAATCCTTAGTTTAGAGCTCAAGAGTTGGGAATGTCCTGCCCCAAGCCCTAGCTTTGAAGTATGGAAGACCAGTCTCAGACTGGGGTTAGGGGAGTATCTCTTGGTCCAGTTTTGAGATTGGCTATGGATGCTCTGGCTTAAAAAAACCCAGTTTCAAGGCTCGATGTAGGTCACTGAGTCTCAAAATCAGGACTGAAGACTTTAGTCCCTAGGTAACGGGCTGGGGGGTAAGAGATGACTAGTTTAGGGTTGGAGTAAGCAGTCACAGGTGTCTTTTATTTTTTGCAGGCCAGAGGGCTCTAGGCTCCTATTTTAATGGCTGAGAAAAGGGTCCATATTGGGTATGGGGTGGGGGGCCGTCTAGATCCAGGATGTAGATGCCAGGGTCCTAGGATCCAGCTTCCTGCTCTTGTCCCAGTGCCTCTAGGAGCAGCCCCATTGGCGTCCGCTTTAGACCAATGCTCTCGATCTTGTTCTCAATCTTGTTTTTAAGGTTTCTCAGGCGCAGTGAAGCATGCAGCAGGATCACTGTGGGCAATACCAAGAGAGGGTCAAGGGCCTTAGCTTGCAGCCTACAATGCGGAATTTACCCAGAGGCAGGCTAGCCTGCTATGGGAGATGTGGCCAGGAAGAACATCCCAGTAAATTAGGACTAGGACAGTTTAAGGCACTTAACAAGGGAAAACCCAAAAAAAGGTAATAAAGAGAGCTCGGGAAGACAGTTATTGGAGACATGTATATCCTTCAGGGTTTCCAGTCCCCTCTTAGACCAGGAACCAGTGCGGGGCAGGCCTAGTGTTCAAGCATGAGCAGTCCATTTTCCCAGCTAAGACAGGGAGAGTAGAGACTCACAAAGCACCGGGGTTGTGATGCAGAGCAGGAAGGTGAAAGCGCCGCCCACGGCCCCGACAATGAGGAGGCTTATGGTAAGCACTGCAGCCAGGCAGGCAGCAGGGTGGCTGCGACGGCAGCGGCGCACAGCTGCACGGGTTTCAGCAGCCCACACTAGCACACCGAGGGCCACCACCACTACCAGTGCACTCAGGAGGGTGTGCAGTGGACGAATGTACCTGCAGGAACAAGGGCACTCAGCTAACCTCACCGTCCACCCGATCCTGGACCCCAAGAGTTTGTTTCCTGTCTCTGGAACCGGCATCCCGACAGATAGTCTCACCAGGCCTGTCTCCAATAAGTCCAGCCTCTAGGGGTTCCTGGATCTCTGGATTCCTCGGTACTACAGTCCTATAGGGCCCCCACATACTGCCAGAGGTCCTGGGTTCCCAGCACTTCTCTGGTCTTTGACTTTAGACCTGCAGGGTTTCTAGCATTCCCAGGTCCGCTCCCACATTCCTCTATGACCTTAACCCTTGCAGCTCCCTCGCCAAGGCCTTTAGTCAATACATATTTCTCCTTGCAAGGCTGGGCACCTTCCAGGTGTCATTTCATTCAAAAGGTCCTCCACTACCCCATTTTTATATAGAGCCACCCTCCCACAGTTGCTTGAACCTATCCTTGGTTTAAGTCCCAGGCTTAAGCTCTCTTCTAGACTGTCCTCTTTGGCTTACAGCTTCGCAACACTGGATGGTCACTCTGGGCCCAATATCAGTAGGTTTTTTATAAACTCACCTCCCAAACCGTTTTTACTACACCCCCACCTCTGTATTAAACCCTCCAGGGCTCCGCAATCTGCCCCATCATTCACATCACTGAACCTCTTCGGTACTCTCTCATCCTTCATATCAGGCCTTCTTTAAATCCGGGGCCACCTCCTAGCCCACATTCCTCTTCATTCTCCCCTCCCCCCTTTTCCTACCCAGGTCTTCCCTCAACCCCTCCACCCCCAACCCTCCTTATAACAAAGACCTCCCTCCTTCAAATCCTTCCAATCATGCCCCTCAGACCTTCCTTTCCTACCGAATTCGCCCTTCCCAGCCTAGCATTTCCCCTTATGTTCCCCTCTCCTCATTCTCAAAGGCCCGCAAGTCCACCCCACTTCCCGCTAGTATCTTCAGCCAATCACCACCTCTCTCCCTCACCCGGCCACAGCGAGACTGATGCCGAAGCAGAGAAGGTAATTAGTTTGGTAGTAGAGAAGATTGTTGATGACGCGGTGACACCATCGTTGTGGATCGCCTGGATCAGGAGCCGCCAGACGCGCAGACCCCAAAACAAAGTCGTCTAGGGCGCGCAGCGGTGGTAGCCGCACCTCCGACATCCTGCGGGTTGCTGGACCAGCCCGAAGGGCGGCGAGACTACAACATCCGTTACCCCTCACGGCACCGCGAGGCACATTGGGAAATAGAGTCTTGGGGGGACGATGACTAGCAACGTAGGCTACTGCGCAGCTGCAGCTATGAACGTGGCCAGAAACCACCAACTATGGTAGCAGAGACTGCTGGGAAACCAAGCTTCGCCACGCGGCGGAGAAGCTCAAAACTTCTCTTCATCACTGGGCGGGGCACCACGCCGGACTGGGCAAGCTGTGCGTTGAGTGAGTCAACGCTGAGCGGACTAATAAGAATAGGAAGTCAAGACCCAAACTGGATTCCACTTCCTTCCTGTCAGGAGCCTAGGTCACACAGCTCCTGGAAAAGTATGCCCCCCACCTTGAGGTCAAGTCATAAATGCCATTTAAAAGCCTTTTATTGATATACATCACAGAGGCTATCTCTCCTGGTAACCTTTTTTAAATCCCCAGGTTGGATTACGACAATCCCTTTGGGTCCCTGTGAGTGTTTTCCAGACTAGGTGGCCCAGGCAATCTGTCCTTGGCCTTCAGCACACTCACAAAAAAAGTGCTGGGGGAAGCCAGCTGTTTCTTTAGATACAGCTGTGCTTGAATGGAGAGTGGAAGGCCTCCTTGATGCTTGCTAGCTGCTTCAACACCCTCAAGACTCAGATTGGCCATCTGCTACTGCAGGTTCCTAGTGTAGCTGCCAGGGCTCTTAAAAGTCATCGTCATCACAGATGTCAAGGTACACATCAAAGGCCTCTCGGTTGCAGTTTCCATCAGGCGTGAAGACATACTTGTGGAAGGTCCCGTCTACGCAGATGGCTAGAAGGTTGAGGTGTTATGAAAGGTTAGGAGATGCTCCAGCCACACACTTTCGTTCCCTCATGTCCCACCAGGGCTCATGGGCTAACGCCAGGCTTTTGCCCAAGTGCCACATCCCTTACTAATTCTGAGGCTGAGCCCACACATTCCAGTTTCCTCCAGCTTCGGAAAACCCTTACATTCTTTTAGGTCCAACCTGCCGTCCTTTGCCTGTGTAGTACCCCAAGTCAAGGGGGCTACTGTCACTCACCAATTACAGAGTTGACATTCTTGGAGGTGTTCCGACCAAAGGCGCAGATGCATGCTGACTCAGCAGGCACGGTAAAGCTGGCCAGGCTCCACTGGGAATCCACGTACTGCCCAATCATAGGCCCAACCTTGCCCACACGAGCCAGCCTGTAGGCAGCACTTGGTAAGTCTAGGTACGGCACATGGCCAGGGGGACTGGGACAACACAGGATAGGGCCAAGATACTCACGCAGAGCGCCGGTTGAGACGGGTGTCTTTAAGAGCAAAGATGTGGACAGTGCCCTTGTCACTGGAAGCACAGAGGAAGGAGGAGTCGTGGCTGAAGTTAATGCTGCAAGACAAACCGGCAATGATGCCCAACATGCTGACTTGTGAGGGCTCGTGCTGTAAGGCCACCAGCCCACACATAACACTGTGCTCACCAATACAGGGTGGCAGGGTCCGTGCCTCTTCGAAGCTCCACCAGTTTTTCCTTGGACTGCGTGTCAAACAGACGAATTAGGGTACCCTTCTGGGAGGCCGACGCCACCACAGTGCCGGGCTGGTTCAGGGACACACAGGCCACATCACTCTGATGCGCGT